AGGGGTAAAGGCACGGGCAGGGGATGTGAGATTATTTTGTGGATTAGTCGGAGTTGTTGGGGATAAGAGTTGGGTGGTCGGGAAAGTGAAAGAGGAGGTTGGGGTGGAAGGTAGAGAGTGGGATTTTTTGTTGTCATTATCGTTGTTGTCGTGCTGAGGACTTGGTGGATTTAGGGGCAGGATTTCTGGTGGATAAAGAGGGAGGCGATGCCGCAGGAGTCTCTTTGTTCTTGTGTTCCAAAAATTCTTGATATCATTGTCTGTTCGTCCAGGAAGCCTAGCAGCCATCCGAGCCCATTTGTTGCCAAACTGGGCATGCAACTCAACAATGATCCTCTCCTCTTCAGCAGAGAAGTTCCCTTTCTTAAGATTAGGTCTGAGATGGTTAGTCCATCGTAGCCGACAACTCTTGCCACACCGAGCCAGCACAGAACGTTTCTGCAGAGCATTCCAGTTCCCTTCCCCATGTTTGTTCACGTACTCTATTAGTATGGCATCTTCTGCAGCCGTCCATGGCCCCTTCTTCAGCTCACCTCCACCACCCTCATCATCATTAGATGCTGAAATCTGTGAATCCAACTCATCAATGATCCTATCCTCTTCAGCAGAGAAGGCACCTTCCTTGGCATCAGGCCTGAGGTGTGTAGTCCATCGCACTCGGCAACTCTTGCCACATCGAGGCAGCCCAGAGAGTTTATGCACCGCGTTCCAGTTCCTTTCTCCATATTTATTCACGTGCTCTATTAGCATGGCATCTTCTTCTTCTGACCATGGCCCCTTCTTTAGCTGGAATTCACTACCCTCATCACCACCTTTAGACATTGAAGACGATCCAACTTCGCTCTTTGCACCAACCCCATCTATGTTTCCAACGAGTTCCATCATTTAAAACTCTCAAAAACTAGCTACAGATATTTCTGTCTTTCCTTTTCGCTTAAGAATAAGAAAAGAACTTTGAGTCTTGCTAGAAATTAGTTTACCTCCTCTCAGAATTAAGAAATGAAGGAAACAATTTTTCCTGGTGGCCGGGGATGTTTATTAAGGAAATAGAGAGCAAAGAGGGATAAGAATGTGCTTTTTTTTTTGGGGATCATCTGGTTGAAAGTCCTTTACACCATGGAAAAACAATGCCGTCGATTCATTGGAGGGGGGTGGGGTTAGGGCGGGGATAGGGTACCCCGAAGGGTAGGGTTTACTAGTGCTTTGGCCGAGAGAGGTTTTACAGAGAACAGAATATTAGAAAAAAAGAGGTTGCTCCTTTTTCCTTGCATTTCTCTACTCTTGAATGGCGAACCTTAAAAGACGGCTTTCCTTTCTTCTCTCCCCCGTTGCCTTTCCTTCTCTTTAGTATAAGCAAGACTTGCATGGATGCCTAACAGATACAGCCTTGGATTCTTATTGAAGTTAAAAAAAGGTAAAAGCCAGAGTGTGAAAAAAACGATAATGACCTGATAACTTCACTAATCTTGGATAGATTGACAAAGCTGACAGCACAGGAAGGAGGGTAGCTGTATTGTTATCACAATCTTGTCAAATCTGGTTGGACCAAATCCACCACTGTAGGGCTGTGTTGATATGACAGAACGACATATAGGCATGACAGTATAGTTTCAACTCCAACGTATATTTACTAATTTTCCTGTCTATAATCTATATTACTGGGGATAGTGATAAGCTCCTGTCATGTTTATTTCTCATCCTGTTGGCTAACTTCCAACTCCAAGGTCAGGTTGTGATAACATAATTCCTTACAAATAAGAACATGTCACAGCAAAGAGAAGCTTCTCATGAATCTAAGATGTTTAGAGGAGCTCGAGGATACCATTTTATTGTCATGTAATAAGAGGAAGAATTAGAATAAAATGAACACTTATCAAATTGTCAAGAGATCACTAAAGAGCAGACATAGTCCATACACTTTGTCACATAAGTTTCTGTTTACATGATGATGCACACCACACTTATCTCACAGAACACAATATTCAGGCATAAATAGTATGTAGTTTGGTGTTCATAAAAAGAACATCTCACATCAGTACTTAATAGCTAGGCTCAAACTTGTCAAACGACTTGAGGAAACCTAGGGCAGCATCCCGTGCTTTGTCTGGGGGAGGCATTGATGAATTCAGTAGTTCATAGTCAGCCTTCCATTCAGCAATACATTTCTCCTCCTCCTTTCCTTCCACTGGAAAAAATGAAAACGTAACCCTATAAGGATCATACATGTCCCTAAGGTCACCCCCAACAACGCTATATGTGACAGACCTTCCAATCTCTACCTTCTCTATCTTCTGCGTGGATTCCTTCACGTAGCTGCTTACAGCTGCGTGAAACAAAGAGAAGAAGTGGGAAGTTAATGTGGTGGCATGATAACTTCAGAACAGAAGTTGCAAGAGAGAAAGTACCAGGTCCCAGCCTGAAGAGCCTGAGACTACCAGGGCTGCCGTCTCCTTCAGTGTATTCAGCAAGGGCAAGCATTTCAGGATTGATTTTGCTAATGATCTCATTGTCTCTGTACATCTCCCAACCTTTCTCTGCAGGAACGTTGAGCTCTACTTCTCCCTTCATGCTTCTCATCTTCCTTTCCCTCAGCTACATTTTATTTTTATGTCGTTTCAGAGTTTATATAATGCTATTAAAGCCCTATCACTATCCGTGGACTTCATTTTCAATGCAGATAATCGACCGGAAAGTAGCCCTAGATAAGGTCTAGGACATGTCAGTGCCAATAAATTCTCTAGTCCAATAACCACAAGATCTTAAACAATAAATAGAACGGAAGACTTCAAGTTGGCTCAATTGCATCCTGCTCTTTAAAGCAGATGCAAATCTTTCCATATCTCCTTATTTTTATTTACAGATGCCGATATATATTCGTGTCATGAGACATTGGTCTAGTAAATAATAAAACACAGAATTTAATCCAACGTACTGCTATGAGAACAATTCTTGCAGAATAAAGTCCACAAGGCACTACTGAATGGTGCTTCCATCACCAAGATAATAAATTTAACTTTATTAATTTTTTATTTCATTTCAGAGGAAAAATTGTGGAAGAATCGGAACCAGATACAGCAGAACCTACGACTTCCTTAAATTAATAAACATGTTGGAAAATATTCATATTACAATCAGATTGTTTGTGTGGAAAGAGCAAAAATAAAAGATAATTTAAAGCAAAGGAGCTTTAGGAGACGTGTATCTTTTAAAATGACAAATCTGTGTACCATAAGAGACGGCAGCTTCAAGATTACATTGTTCCTAAACATAGAATTAACACGTCATGTTGATTAAAGAATGGCCGGGCTCCTCTTGAGAATTCCTCCAAACAACGTTCAGATTATAGACTCGCTTGAGTTCAGAAGGAAGGAAAACTCTCTCCACCTTTTCCTAGTTAAAATGCTAGAAATCCTGTTGAAATTGCCCAAAAAAAAGCCCTAGTACTTTAATGTATATCATACTATCAAAAGGAAAAGGAGAGATTTGTGTAATCATGCATTCTTAGATATAAAAAAGAAAAGGATTCGCATGTATGATGTGATAACGCTCGCATGCCATCAATATATCATATTGAGATTTTGGTCCAGTGGTATTAATGACTTGCGCGTCATCTTTTACAAGTACAGTTCAACAGTGCAAAACCACTCTTGATAGACGGCTTAGCTGTTAACCCGTCAGGTCAGCTTGTTGACAGGTTTTGACCAACTGAGGGTTTTTGTTCTAACCAAACTGGAGCCTTGGCTGGTTCACGTGTAGCCTGGTTGAACTGGCCGGTCAAGTTTGGTTTTGACAACTTTGCATCTCACTAGAAGTTCATGATTGTACAATGATTTCGAAAATGAAGAAGGTTTTCACGTAGTTGCATCTTTGGGCTAACATAATTTAATCTCGAAAGAGAGATTTAATATGCTAACCAGAACTGTGAGAGAAACCATTTTATGCATTGGAGCATTCTGGTTTTTCCAGCTCTGCACTTAACATATGATGCAGAAGAATATCAACCCTTTGACTGCGAGTTTTTGTGCTGCACCAACCAAAATAAGTTCAGATTATTGTAAGCACTCAACATCTAGATTGAAAGAAATGACTAGCTAGCAGCACATACCCAACAGATCGGTGTCGGGATTTTGAGTTGCTTCCTTCCTACATTAAGAAGGCAAAAGAATATCATTTAAACTCAGTAGTTAATCTATTGCCACAAATATAAACTGGGGATAAATCCAATTGCTCAATACCACTTTTAACCCAAAAAATCAGGTATGAGCAATGGAAAATTTGAGAAACAAGATCAACCAGTAAATCAAAGCCACAAGTAGCATTCAGTAAATGTAACAAAAATCTTATGGTATCTGAAACCTGAATCTACTTTCTAATGTTGAAAAGTGATAACTTCTTTCCAATGTAAACTATAATATTTAGCTTGCATTTCTAATTCGCACATCCTTTATAGCAATCACATACTTGCCATAGAACAAAAACAATTACTTGAAATTCTCTCTAAATGATTGATTTTTTATCAGAAAATATTATATATTGAATTTTTCAATATTAAGTGGGCAATGCCTTAAGATGTTAAATTTTCTTTCTATGGATGACATATTGTAATTTTAATCATCGTTGTCCCAAATCATTTTAACAAGGACTATCACTATCAAACTATCATTTAAAATTGAAAAAGAATTAAACACAAAAAAATGAGTAAAAGAGAAATAGTTAGGTGGATTTAAAGTGAAAAACAAACAAGGGGTTACTACCTGCCCTTGCGCTGAAGGAAAAAGCAAATCAATTAAAATAGAGACAGAGGCAAAAGAAAGTAAATTCTTTGATCATTGAATAATTAATTAGAGGAATGAGGTGGTTAAAATATGGGGAAAAAAAAGAGAAAAAAAAAGTGTCAAAGGATCGCTAGATAAATTCAATAGAATGAGACAAAAAAAATCATAAATATTTAATTTAAGAAAAAAAATCAGATTCATATTAGAAGAGAGAAGGAAATTAAATCGTGAATAATAAAAATTTTGAATAAAAATTTTAAAGTTATAAAGATTGTGTGGTAGAGCCTATACTAATGGGAAGAACAATGAAACGAACTAATATTGGTATAATGGGGAACGATGAAACAAACTAATATCGGTAGCATTTTTTCCTTTTGCTTATAAGCAAATAAATATATTTTGAGAAAACAACATGAATCACATGCCAAGCATGTACATTAAGAACTAATAGTTTAAAAAGGTACCAACCTTGTCCGCTCCTTCACATTTTTCTGATGTCTCAAGTTCCATTTCAGCAAAGAATGCCTCCAGGACAAAAGCCATAACCTGAAACATTGAAAACAAGAAAATGACGTTTTGCATTTTACAATAGCTTCGGCCCTTAACTTAAAAATGTGACGTATTTAGCAATCCATTCATAAAGGCCAATAATAACTTGAGTGGAGCTCTTGTTATCTAGAAAACTCTGCACTTCATTATCTAATATAAATAAAACCAAATAGCAACTAACGAAGCTGAGTTCTCCTATGCATTTTAATTTCATTACAGAACACCTGATAATACCAAATGATCAATTAAATCCAGCTTATTAAGTTATAGGGTCACCACCATTTCTTAGATATTTCTGGAATAGCCAGTCAGTGTTACCAGGCTCACTGAACAGTGAAAACACTGACCATCTATTCCAGATAATGACGCATTTTTTATCTGACCAGTTCACTAGAAACGGGATGTTATGCAGGAAAGAAAGCTACATCACAGAGAAAAGCATTAAGAGTGCAAGGACAAAGCGCAATGGGACAAGCTATTCAGGAGTCTGCCAATTTGAGGTTGATTTCGGTAGCAATAATGACCAGAACAGATTGCCTTTAGGCAGATGAAATGATAGATGCTTACTCTCCACAATAATATAGGATTGATCAAAATAAGCATAAGAGTACAAAATACAAAAAATTGTCAACCAATAGTCTCATAACTTCTCTCTATTAACTTTCAAGGATTCATGGACCATTCATCTGACTGAAACAGAATATCCTTCCTATCAAATTATCAATAACAAGGCAAAGAAGTGGAATGCTACACGTGGTTTCCCATTATTTGTGTTGGATTTGACAGATTGACATATCTACAGGTTTTGAGCTTCAGCAAATTCAATAAAAAGTGCTTGAGCAACAAATAGAACTTACCAAATTCAAAAGCAATAAAATCGTTATTAGGTAGAAGCTGATGAAGTATGCAAGGCTCCAATAAGTTCCAGTCAAATCCTTATAACTCTGAAATAGTAAGTACAAGTGATCAGGGCTTTCAACTGAAATTATAAGATCGAAGACTGCATGGTAAAACAAGTAAATTTTTTTTCTTATATAGTCATTGAGTGTTACAAACACCCTGAAATCTCTTGCAAGCGATATACATTATTCAATAGTTGTTTTAATGTATTTCGTCTTGGAAATTTATGACAATGTCATTATGTTGCACGCATAGCAAACATCAGCTACATCATATTGAACCCATTGTTCTCTTCAAATTTTGAAACAGAGCAGATTGTGTTAAATGCATATTATCCCCTCTTTCCTTTGATAAATTCATAAATTAATCGCCAGAAATATCATGAAATCAGACAGTATCCTCATTTACAAGAATGACAATTTGACAGGATATGGAGGAAATGACATGAAAGCTTGCACATGCATAATATACAAAAGAGGACTACAATAAGATTTTCCAAAGTTTATCATGCTTAATATTTGACCACACCAGCTTTGTCTCAACATATCTTTCTGACTCTCCAGATCCATGGGAAACAGCT